TACCATTCCGCCAATCCTGTGAGATAAGCTATTCGTTTAAAATCAGACATGTACAAATAAAACGTTTGGCTCGTCTCGTGCTAAGCCGCCGAATGTGTACACAAATGATTGTCTCTTTATTTGTGTGACACAACTCGAGTTGTAGTAGGTATGAATAATATACTGTACGGTTTTATTTGATTTCACCAAGTGAAATAAAATCAACAGTACGTCTTATCTATAGTTGTTTACACGGTAAATACAAACAAAGTAATGGAACGTCTTGGAATATGATCTAATAGCTAAATGTAAAAGGAAGCCCGCACATGTTGCCATCCCCAGCTGTTGTTAAATCACAATCAACATGATGTGCATATAATTTTTTTTTCTTGAAAATAAACACCGTCCGCGTAGTTAGTTTTGTTTGTATATATATTATTTATTTTCCAAAATGGAACAGTACTTATGTATAACGCCGCCATCCGGTGGTAGATCTAAAAAGGCAATAGGGACAATATAAGTATATCATCTAATACCTAATTACCATTTTTAAGTGGTGTACAACTCAAATTGACTTAACCCATACTGTATGTTAGAAACTTTTTTTTAATTAACAATAATTTACTATAAAAAATGTGTCACCCGTGTAATGGCGGAGTAGTATTATTTTTATTTGCACTATTCAAACGCATTGCATTATTAAAAGTGCACCTTTGGACTATTTCCTTCCTTTCCTGAATGTCCTGCTGGTTGTATCCGTTTAACGTTTATACCTTACATTTAAACACGTTTATAATATTTAATACAATAATTATTATCCACCAAAAACCCATAATAATATGGACAATCAATAGACCATTAATCCGACCGTCGACATAGTTTCCCTAACGATTTACTAACGACAATGTATTATACAATGTTTACCGGTATTAACAAATAATACACCAACCGTTAATTTGTTTTATTGATATATGTTGTCGTGTGCCACGAGCCATGTGCCTCTGCTGAGGGAAATTAGTAAACATTTTCAATTTTCGACCGGCCACCTAGACTTGTCATACTTAAAAGCAAAAGAGATGGCGTAAAGGTCATTATTTTTCAAATCAACTAAACGTCCGTCTATTAATCTTATCGCGTAATTATTGTATAATATAATTAAATACTAATTTATACAGTGTTAAATGATGCGTTATTTCAATTAAATCATTTACTCGATTAGCCTTGGACGTCGAACCGTCAGGTAAGTTTAGATTAGGCGCCTAAAAAATCTACTTTTATAAACTACAAAACATATTGAAATACTATTTTTAAGTTGGAAAATTACTTGGGCTTAGATTGTTTAGTAAATGATCCAAGCGCATATAGATAAGGTGGTTAAGTTAGGGTTGACTGGAAAGGTTTTAAAAATTTTCAGATTTTCAGAATTTAGAAAACCCACTTGAGTATTTCCGAAATGTAGATACATATTTAAAAAAAACTGTGAATCATTATTGACATACACAAATCAAATTCAAGCTAATGATATTAAAATAAAATAATAGTAGTTATATTGGGTAAATTATATGAAAGTTAATTTTATTTATAAAAAATCTGTTGTATCAGAGGGGAACAAATAAATATGGGTAATGACAGGCAAAACTATTAGATCCACAATATTACAAGCCATTAATTAATTGCAACAAGCACAATAGTGTAGCTTTTACAGTTTTTGTCCAGCAAACAAATGTCAATACATTTGAATCTCTTTGCGAAATGTGTATGACTGAAAATAAAACCATATTGTAAATTATTTTACCGAAAAACAGCGAGCAGAAATAATTCTTGAAAGCTGCTATTGGGTTTTAACCTAACCTATCCGATGGACAACACAATAGTATTTATTTATCACAACACAGTTTAATAGCGACCTCCAAGTGTCAATATATATATATATATATATTTTTTTTTAAAGTCAATGGATAATTATATTATGTGTTATTCCAATTCGACACGGCGGCCATGAGTTAACGCCGTAGCCGTTGTTAAGTAGGTACTGCTAAGTAGATTGTTTTCAATGGTCAAATACAGAGTGATTCAAAAAGTAAAAGGATAACTTTCTCTGATAGTTCTGAAAATAATTGATTTGTATTATTTAGAAAAAATTACTGTTGAAACATTTGTGTGGTTGGCATATTTTATTTCCTGTCAAAAACTATACTATGGACAAATATATTGAAAATAACCTGACAATTAGATAGGTTATAATTTTTCAAAAATATATTATTGCTGCTTTAGAAAAGGGTGTTAAATTTCTAAAATGATTCGGATGACTGTGTCTTGTACATAACAACAAAACGTTTGACGTCTATCGCCATGAAAACACAAGTGGCTTTATGCTTATAATGTTGTTTGTATAGCTTCTACACCTGTGCCTTGTGTACATATATATTATAGTTTTGTCAAACATTGTAACGGCAATTAAATAATGACTCGTGCAAAAAAAAAAAAAAAAATATATAGGTATACTTGTCTTATTCCTAAATAGATACATTTAACAAAATAATTGTCTTAGATGTATTATGTTAAATAATACATTTACCATTGGCTGCGTCAATCGTCCTCTTCGCGACCAGACTTTAATAAGTCATTTAGTTATCTCTTGGACCTTGGTTGTTATAATGTTCCTAATGAAATTGCTAATAAAAAATAGTAATTATTCTCCTGAATATAGAACCATTTGATATTGGCAATATTAATATGCGCTCCAATTGAAACCTTTAAAAAAAAAAAAAAAGTTTGATCATCATCCGCACAGTATAAATATTAGCTATATTAAAAATTGACATACTCGTCGAAAAACTATAACACTAGTTACAAGGACAATCTGATAATTGAACATACAAGTCAATTGTCTTGGCGTTCAGGTCAAGTTAGGTTAACAAACACAGTAAACAAAACTGATGGTCTGGTGTCCACAACCGAATACCACAATAAATTTAGTCGTATTATATAAGACTTGCATAATAGAATGACTGTTCTGTCGTCGAAAGCGATACTGTTTCAAAACAGTACTTAAAAAAAGTGTTTACAATTTTCACTCTTTTTTTTATTCGATTCGGTGGACTCCGACATGAAATAGCATATTAAAAAACCACCTTAAATATTATTATAAGACATAAGTAGTACATGTACACTTTATTATAAATTAATTCTTTAGCCGTTATAGTTCTTGAATTATAATTCCTGTGGGTTATGGCAAAAGTGTGAAAAAAATTTTTCCGGTAAAAGACATTGTTCTGGAATAGGTATCTATGAAACAAATTTAATTTTTTTTTTATGGAACGCTGACGACTTTTCTATTTTGCTTATAGAAAATGATACAGAGTGATATATTTGATTTTTTTTTTTTAGTTATAACTTAACAAATATGGAATAAATTAAACATTTTGAACTCATTATTATTGTTTATTAAACGCCAAACGGCAATCTTACATAGTTTACAAATATGGTAATAAGTGTACGTGATTGTATAGTTACATAATTACATAATTAAGATATAAAATTCATATTTAGATAGCAATAATTCAGTATACATATAATATGGTTAGTAGTATTTTAGTAAAAGTAAAGTAGAAATAGTGACCTAAGAACTATTGGTTGTTTGCAGCTCTGAGCATGCGATGTAGAGTATGATTGTGCCCATAAGAGGTCTTGTGAGTTGGGACATAAAAACGGGATTGGTTTCTGGAAGAATGAGAAGGAACTCTGAAAGGAATGGCAGCAAGGAGATCAGGAACGTCCAGAGAACCATTTAGAATTGAGTTTAAAAAGTCTAGGTCTGCTTTATCACGGCGAGAGGCAAGAGTAGGGATATTTAAAACTTGTCTTAATCATGGTAGAGTAATCATGAGGTTCGTGGTGAATGTTCATTTTGAAGGCAATAAAGTTTAAAAATTTATTTTGGACACGTTCAAGTCGCAGCTGGTCTTTGGCTAGATACGGATGCCAAACCACAGATCCATATTCAAGAAGAGAACGGGTAAGGGCATAGTATAAAGTACAAAGGCATCCAACTGACTTAAATAATTTAGTATTGCGTATAATGAACCCTAGTACTTTAAGTGCTAAAACATAGATTAGGTGAGTAGATAATACCAAGATCGTTAATGGAGGAAACTCGTTCAAGTTCAGTTCCATTAAGATAGTAGGAGGTTAAAGTTGGAGATAAAGATCTGGTGAAAGAAATAACATTACACTTAGAAAGGTTTAAGGATAGACCTAAGTGAGAAATCCAGTCTGTAAAAATGTCTAATTGACTCTGGAGTAGGAATCTGTAGGAGATCTGATTTTATGAAATATCTTTAAATCATCCGCATACAACAAAAATTTTACTTGGTTAAGCCTTGTGGAAATAGAGTTAACAAAAAGTGAGAATAGTAATGGACTTAGGTGGCCGCCCTGAGGAACGCCAGAGGTTGTTTCAAATGTATTTGAAGAGGAGCCCAGGATCGTTACGAATTGTTTCCTTCCGGTTATATAAGATTTAAGCCAAGATAATAATGGGTTAACGACACCCAAGCTTTCAAGTTCGTTTATTAAAATATTGTGACTGACAGTGTCAAAAGCTTTTCTAAAATCCGTAGTGACGGTATCGACCTGATAGCCTGATTCGAGGCTTTCGGCAATGTACGTTGTAAAAATAACACTACTAGTAATAGTAGATTAACTCATCGTTTAATACTATCCTATTTCTGTGGTCTGGCAGCTAATGACATGGTCATCAGTTAGTTTTAATTATAGTTTTACTTGTTTTTTAAAATTGTAGTATTTAGTATTGAGTGAAAAATTAAATACTTGTTTTTAACTGTATTTTTAACTGCATAAAATGTTCACATTCAGCCTAAATCGTGCGATAAAAATTATTTTAAAACCCTTAATCAAGACAGTTTTGTATTTAAAAATAACAGAAAGTTCTCTGATAATAGATAAATGCAAGCTTTCTGAGTTTAAGACCATCATGTAAATGTACTAATGGATTATAGTTTTTCGGTAGGTGTAATGAAGTACGGCGTATGTCTGAAGGAGGACTCATCATGTCTTCGTGGACGGCCTCCACCAGCCGGACGGTGCCGAGACGCAAGTTCAGCATTCCCGTGGCCCTGTCGTCGGCCGTCAGCCACCAGCTGTCGGCGAACACGGTGGACGGGACGTCCTCGCTGGCCGTGGCCACCGCTCGCCGTCGGCTCAGCAACGTCAGCGACGTGGTGTCCAGAAAGTTGTCGCACACGATCGGCTGGCGGACCGCGGTGCCCGCCGAGCAGATAGCGTGCCAGGGCAAGGCGCTGTGCAGCCAGTACGTCCGGTGGAAGCTGAAGCGGGCCGGGGCGTTCACCAAGAAGTGCGGGCTACTTCGGATGCGTAGCATCAACAGTCTGCCACAAAGCGCGGGCGTCCGGGACGTGTTCCCGGCCGTGCTCACTGTCGGCCAGGAACTGGAGCGGCTGCATCCCAAACTGTACACGGCCGGGCCCACGAGGCAAGCTAGGAGCGCGGCCGCCGTGCTGGTATCCGTGTCCCGGGAACTGTTCCGGCCCGGCACGCAGATCACCTGGGCCAAGGTCGTGTCGCTCATGTGTGTGGCCGCCGGACTGGCCGTCGACACCGTGCGACAGGGCCACGCGGAGCAGTTGTCCGACATCATCGAGGCGGTCGGCGAAGTCATCGAGGACGACCTGGCCGCTTGGATTCATTACAACGGCGGATGGGTGAGTACATCCACTAGTACATAAATGCATTGCGCCAATCGCGGGTGGTCTCCAAATGGTTATCAAGAAAAACCTGTTATTTATTTTTTACTCCAATAGAAAAACATGTGATAGCACAATAAAGCTTAAGTTTTATAAAATATAAAAATCCATTTTAACTGCTTAGATTTTAAACAACATAATGGTATAAAAAAAAAATGTATTTATATTGAGTAGTAGTACATAAAAGTTAATAAGAAAAGTAATTTTGAAATGTCCATAACAGAAAGCTCTCCTCAAGCCAGCCTAGAAAAATACAGTAACTTCCTATAGGTAATAAAGCTGAGATATAAAAAAGTAAAAGTCAGTCGGTCCATTCCACTAGATATTATTTTATACCTTCTGAAGACACGACATCCGTTAATAGTATAAATTATTATTTCCCGTGACCTTGGATGTGTACATTTTTAAATAACAAAATTACTTGTGTACAAAATGGGCGTTTATTGGCTATTAACAATTAATATCGTTTTGTGAGTTTATCGTTATTGATATATTATTACTTTCCTTGTTATTATTTTTTTTAAACTTTTAACGCGTTTTTTACCCGACACCTTGGGCGCGTTTTTTAATCTGATTTAAACACGAAGACAAATCATTGATTATAGCCGATATTAACAACAAATCAATGTACTTCCCTCTGTATTAATTGTATTTTTTTTTAACAGCATTTGGAAAATATGTTTTTATTGTATCTACGGCTTATAAAAAAATGTATAGGTAAAATAATTATTGCTGTTGGCGATTTCGTTTTATCTGATGTGTAGAACACTATATAATTATATAAAATATTATAATTGTCTGATACCATCCCAAATATAAACGGTTTTGATGATTTTTAGCGTGGACAATCGCTGCATGCATAAGACCAAAGAAACTTTTTTCTTTTCTCATTTGGCCTCATAAAAATCTATAAGAATGTACCTAGTATTATTTTTATACGTCCAACCTTCGGTCCTAAATTTTAAACTTAGATTTATCCTCAACCGGTTGTCGAGCAGTCATCGATTTCAGCGAATAATTCTTAATTTTAAAAAGTTCATTAAAATATATAAACGTCGCCGTTAAGTTTTAAAAGATGATAGAGAATTGTGAATTATAGACAAAATAAAAAAAGATAGATACAATTTAGATTATTGTCTAATATTGTAAATAACTAATCTATATTAGTAGTAAATTTTCTCCAAAATGAATACCTAACTAAAAAATGGCCATTAGTTTAAGAGGGAAATTGGTGTATTATCCTTTATGAATCGCCCATTATGTTATTCTAATGTGTTATGTTTACTTGACAAATATTCAAAAATTGGTTTTAAATGTCAACAAATTTCAACAAAATTGTACATGAACAAATAAAATTTCGACCAATATAAAAAGTGGATCGACAATAGTTTTGATCTCCCCAGCGTTATCAAATATATTAATGATTTATTTTCTTTAAAAAATAATAACATTTATAATACCGTAATTGTCACAACATTTTTAAGATATATTTTTACATTGTGTTTTTGATAGGAAATCAAATGTTAGTAATACAATAATTGTGTTTTGTGAAGCTTATCACAAATATTTTTTTTACCTTGTTCTACAAAAAAAAAAATAACAAATTTGAAAATCTTATTAATTTTCTTATTCGTGACCAACGGATTATTCTTAACGATTGGAAACATTTGTTATTCGGTTGCGCTTAAACATTTTTAATATTAACAAAATTATGTATGTTTATTTTTTTTTCAGATTGGATTACAAACGTACTGTAGGCCGGCCAACGTCGAAAACTCTGTTTCCTCATCAATACTGAGTCTAGCGACATTGCTCATAGTTTTAATCCTATTTTTGTTGCTGCTAAGATGGCTCAAGAACGTAGCACTTTTTCGGTGACAGCCCCAACCGGCCACGTTTAAACAATACAATATTATATTATTTAATTAAAGCAATCGGTACCTACCTAGGCCTATGCGAAATTGAGTTGTATACAACAGATGGCATCCCATTGTATTTCATCGGTGTTCAAGCACAACCCCCCCCCCCACCCCACACATATTGTTGTATAAATAATAATCCAGTGATATCCTTAAAAATATAGCGTATCAATGGAAATGTGACACGATATATTATAGTACCTATAGTTACTATTTTTTACTAATAAAATCATAAATTTGATTGCGTTGTATGTTATGTTGTACATTAATTACCCCGTAATATTTTAATTATGTTAAATAATACTTGCGTTTGTACAGAGCGAACGGTATGTGTATTTGTGTACAATTTTATTTATTTCCATTAAATAATAAAACGTTCTAGTTGTTATACACTGTGGTAGTTGAATTGTTTTTGCCCCAATGTAAAGCATTATCTGATTATTATTATTATATCCTACAAACTAGGATTACATAACAAGCCGGTCGACACTATCTAATGGTTTGGATGTGATATGCTGAGTAGTGGTATTTATTTTAAGTAGTCGTTTTTTTAAAAGTAAATATATGTGTAATATATAAGTATACATATATTGCCACACTAAATGAGATCATACTCCATTGAGGAGTCTAATAAAGTATTTTTAAAACTACTTTGACATTGTCTTTTTGCAAACATATTATTCTTTGTATATTTTCGAAAAAAATGTTCAACATTAAAACTATTATTCCTGACAAAAAGTTCTGATCGACAGTGGCATAATAATTTTTAATTTTAAAGCAAACGTCTCAGATCAGATTATTAATTTTTATTTAAAAAAATGATTTTATGAATAAATGCAAAACCACCAATTGTTTTAAATGCAAAAAAAAAAAATACCTTGGCTCCTCAAGGAGGAGCCAAGGTATTTTGACATATATTGACTCCATATGAATTTTCAATAGTAATAATGATAATACTACGAGCACAATAATAAGTCGAGGCGACATAATTACCATTATTTGTCAAAAAAGAATCATTGGAATAACCATAAAAATCAAATGTCAAAATAACCATAAACATAACTGAATTACAAAATGAGATGTGTCTTGACGGACATTTCAACAATTGATTCAGTGTTCAGTTCTTTGCAATTTTCTTCAAACATTATAAGAAAAACATAACTTAACACTTGGCCACTTATCGCAGACACGAATCCATTTCAAATCAAGCCACACAAAACAATTTTTTTCCATAACCCCATTTAACTTTAAATACGAAATTTGCTGCTTTCCTATAAAAACTAAGGATGTGCGAATAATGATGAATTAAGTTGTATTCTATATATTATATAGTATATAAATGACACGAATTCAGTGGAACTGAGAATAAATCCAAATTAGAAAGAAAGAGAAAAAAAATATTTCCCTCCACTATTACAAATTCAAAAGGATATTCTGAAGAAAAAAAATAACAACCAATACAGTATTACTTTTTTTTTCAAAATAATTACACCGTAACGTAATTTTAAGTTTAAAATGTATACCAACATTTTTTTTTAGTTACCTAACATGTTTAAAGTAATTAAATTTTGATAATATTTACCGTTATATTTATTAGCAGCTAATATAGGTACTATCTCTTACCTATTTCTTTTTTTTTTTTTGAGTTCGACAACAAATTTAAATTTAAAACATACTCTGTACAAAAAAAAAACTATCAAGTTTTCAAAAATAAATTCATAGTTTTGGGAAACAAAATTAATCCACATTTATTATATTGATACCATAAATAAAATGATATTATTTGAATGTAAAGGCGAACCAAACCACTACCGGGTCAGTGGTAGGATTTAATTTGAAATTATAATAATACTAGTATAATTTTTAAAAATAATTACATTGTTATAAACAATTAAATCGCTCGAAAATCCTGGTAGATTTGTACTGTTAAATTTTAATTTTTAAATCATGTTACGTCGTCGGTTTTGGAAAAAATGTGTTATCACTTATCATTGATAACAGTGCGTCCTTAGAAGATTATAGAAGTCGGTAAATTATAATAATATTACCCAAATGATAGCAAGAATATGTTATTTAACTAGATGAATAAACTTTAGTTTAATAAGCTAAATTTTTTGAGTGAAATACGAAAATGGAATTTAGAATTCAAAGTAAGTTTTATACAGAATCGATAAACCAATGTGAGGGGTAGGCTTATTGGGGTTTCAAACAAATATACCTAAAAGTTAATTATTTATCTAGACGAGAAAATTGAGGTTATTTCAGTTGTGCAAGAAAATTATTTCTTTTTGGTAAATAAATTAATATATTTTGGGTAAATTAATATGAAATATTATATTTTGTGGTGTCATTCTCAAACAGTTACCAAGTTATCACTTTGGTTACTGATAAAATATTAACACCCTCATCAACGGGGTGGTTTTATTTTGGTTTAAACCTGGTTATCAAAATAACAATAAGGGAAGCCGACGCCAGCAGCTTAATAGACTGCCTTCATAATTTTCCATTAAAATGTTGGCAAGCCAATTATTTTTGTTTATACTTTTCATTATGTTTGACGCGTTACCTATACATTTTACCGTATTTCGTTCCATCGTGTGTTTCTTTCCTTTTATTGCATTATGTATAATAGACAACCAAGACGAATAATAATAAGTAAGTAAGTTTGTTTCAATTAAAAATGTTATATTGTTAAAATAGTATGACTAAAGCAAATGGTTAATTAACAGTGACGAAGGGCGTGTTATATTCGTAACAGGGATAATAGTAGGTAAAAAAAAAATAGCTCTGATTACCTGTTCAGTTACCTACAGTCTACAGATACAGCTTATCAGCTTTTTCACCAATTATGCTGTTTATTAAAAATATTGTATTATTATATTAATTAAAAAAATATTATAATACATCACAATTTACAATTCAACATAACGGCTGAGCGGATAAAGGGACGGTGGTTGAAATTTGTGGTCTGCAGTTTAAAATTAGGTCTTGGGGCCTCCGATAAGTAGCCAAGTAATCAGCGTTGGTCAAATTAAAAGTAGCCGCTATCTCTATTTCAGGTTACGACCTAATAACCGTCTCGGATAAAGTCTGACGCATTAATCAAAGGTGTCACATAAGTACACAAATTTATATTAACGTTTTGTATTTGTTGTGTTCAGGATTTCAGCAACAAAATCAATTAAGGATCTGAGAAGAAGTTTTTTTCCTAACTCAAGTCTTTGATAGTCATTTCAAACAAACTAAGGTAGTTACAACATATTTTGTTTTACCTAAGCATCACAACGCTTTATCATTGCATGTCTGAACTATTATTGTTGTATTGTTTTATTTTAAGAAAATTCGTTTAACTTTATAAACTCAAATTTAAACTACTTAAAGCCTTTCTTACTTGCAAATAAAACTTTCTTTTTATTAGTTTATATACTCACAAAATCATATTAAAGTTAAATATATAAAACATTTTTTGTCTTAAAGAATTATTTTATAGATAATAAACCCAATTCAGTTGAATAATATAAATGTCCATGCGTTGAATTGTCAATAACCCAATATCTTAATTGTTCTGATTTTCAATTATACTGGTACAGTATCAATAATCAAACAAAGAATAAACTTTTAAAATTGTTATTTAAACAATAAATACCAGTCTGTACCAAAAAGGGTATTAATATTTTCTATATTTATTATCTTTTTGACTTCTATTTCAATTTTAATCAAATTTAAATGGTATATTTCTATTAAATAATTTATTATTTTGCTTACAGATTATATAAGGAATTCCAATACTTCTGCTATAAGCAAGCTTTAATTTTCACTCATCCTATATTATGCCTAAGCAACTGGAAAACAAGAAAGCGCTGACTACTAGCTCTAACGCCAAAGAAATAGAACTCGACAGCCGTATACGACTGCGTGTGTTAAATGAAATTAACAGTCAAGTGTACTTTGTGGTCAAGTTCGGTGTACCGCTAATACGGCTAAAACAGTCATATGGTAAAACTTTGGGGATAAAAATTGAAGATCTTCGTTTTGTGTTTGACGGTCACCGTATAACAGACGAGGACACTCCGCAATCGTTGAATATGAATAATGATGATGTCATTGAAGTCTACCAACAGAGAATTGGTGGTTTTCAACTGAATAACATATATAAATGTGTATACTGACTTTAATTACTTCTTTATACTTTTTTTCAATTAAGAATATCCCTATTTAAAATTTTAGTTTTAAGCTATATCGTTTTCCGTTAAACAAAACATATAATCATATTATATTTCTAAGCAGATGAATAGTTGACATTTTTTCCATGTATTCGTTAAGTTATATCTTTTTACCTGCCTCTGACTTCAAGTTGAACTAAAATAACACTTCATGCTATTCTAGCTTTTACCAACTGCACCGTAAACAAATCTCGCTTCATAACATCAATTGTCAACTTGTATTAAATTTATTATTTCGCAGAAATTTTTATTTCATATGATAATTAGCTTTATCAGAAGCATGACAATTGCTTGGCCAGGACTTTCTTTACAGAACACCCATGTTTTCATCTAACAATTTATTATTGTTTAAATAAATCATTATTCCTATATACTCCTACTTAAAAGTCTGATTTTTTTTTTTTTATCAACTATTTTGAATTATTTATCAGTATTAATTATACTTATATTGTATTAATTGTCATAATGTAATAAGTAGCATACATAAATTTATTATAATGAACTACTTAATTATTTAATTGATTTTTTCATTTACATTATAATTCCTCTACTTTATATTATATTATGGAATTGACCCATTACTAGTACCTAAGGTTCGGTCTCGCAGGTTTTTGTTTGTTTTTAACTGCTTTTAATCATCAAAAAGACTTATTTCCACTGTACCAGTTACGATTTGATAAGAATAAATTTTATGTAAAATAAGAATAAATGAACCTCCTTACTTTAAAACTGTACATAACAATAATAGAATATAGTTCGACACAGAAGTCATGCAAATTATGGTATCATAATTAAAAATACAACACTTTCGGAATTAATTTATATTGTAGATATTTACACGTAATTTTACTAGTCATTGTACAAAACTATTTTCAGTAGACCATAAAATAACATAATGTAATGAATATTTTTTGTTTGTTTTTACAAAAATGATTTGATTCTCATTTATTGTCATTTTAGCTATTATATTAACATATTTAAATACCAAGAAAGAACAGTAATAAAAAAACGAAGACTAGGTATTTAAAAACGATGAAGCTTATTCAATATATTGAGCCAGCCATCTAAATCCTTCTGTGTAACCTTGGCGTTTTAAAACTGAACACATGAACACTTCCAACGGACGTCCCGGTAGTTCTGATCTAGCTACACGTCCCTAAAAAAATACAAAGTTTATTTTTAAAAGTAAAACCAAATTCATTCACATATTTTAGAAATGAATGGGGTTATACTTTGCCAGTGGTTTGAGCTAGAGAAAAGACCGTCTTAAATTCGTGTTCTGAAAGTGCACCTGGCCTATCGATTTTGTTACCGAGAACAAGCACCGGACAATTGCACAACGGTTCATTGAGCAAAAGTGAATACAATTCGAATTTGTTTTCATTTATTCTAGTTCGGTCACTTGCATCCACCAAAAATACTATCGCATCTATAGTAGGAAAATTGTCTTTCCTTATTCTACTCGCTTGAGAATGGTCGCACAAGTCGACCGTTTTAAATTTTATGTTTTCAACTGAATACTCTTCGAATTCTACAATATTTGTATAAATACATATTAGTAAATAATGTGGTACTTAATAGCATTAATGTAAAATTAATATTACTCGGATGTAACTCTAACGCGAGTTGAGTTATACGGTCTTTGGCCAAATCTTTTAGTATATGCAACAGAGTGGTCTTCCCAGAATTTTCTAATCCGAGAAATAGTAATTTTCCAGATTTTTTCCATAATCCTGGAAATGCAATAAAATAATATCAGGTAAAAGTTGCGAGAAAACCGTCGTGGGTCGAGGTATTTCCAGTATTTCAGAAACTCTGAATTTGTTGAAGTGGCTTACAATTTTGGAGGAAAAAAATATGAAACCTATAACTTCCATACAAGTAACTTTGCTTGATTCGTCTATTAGGTTATTGATCTTATTACCTAAGTTGTATCCATTAAACTGTTAATGAAATAATTGATATGTTCAAATGTAATATATGTAGGTAGGTACCTATTTCATTGAAATTATGTATATAGCATTCGGTATAGTTGTTGTTACGACTGTATAGTAAAAAGTGTATTTAAGATAATAGTATTATAGCAAAGCCCTCACAGAACCACAAGCTGTAGTAATACAAAAATATATCAACAAGAAAAATGTATTAATTTTAACTTCGATGCTTTTTATTTTAAAATTAAAGACTATTTATTTATTTGTATACTCACCTAGAAATTCCAATGCTCTGACAGCCCATTTAATGTAGAGAGACATTTTTGTGATTTGTTTTTAATGCTAGTTATCTAAAACAAACAAATGACAACTATTGCCAGTTGGGTAATGGAAACTTCAATTAAACAATACAAGGTAACTAGTAAGTATGTTAAAGCTTGATTAATTATTTAAAATCCGTATTTAATCATTGGTTATAGTTAATTTTTAAAATCGGTTTATATCCTCTTTCTTACATTGTAGACATAGGAAAACTGGGAGTTATTAAAATAAAAAATTATTTAAAAAAAGCAAATTTATTGAAATATGAACTCGAATAATAAATAGGTTTTTTTCGACAAAAGATCCAATAATTACAAGAATTAACAAACATCTTTATAAATTAATTAATTTTGTACATTCCAGGATAGTAGGGACTTATTTTAACTGAAGCTGTTAATATCACTTTCAAATAAACACTTCGAGGTATATCTGTAAATTTATTTACATATAAAAGCATTATACGTTTTCCGGATTTCAGAGCGAAAGAATTCTTTTTTTTAAGTTTTGACCAACTAAAGTATTAATTACATACTATTTTGGATCTATAAAGATGGTTTTTTTTAATAAATCGGTTCACAGAGGAAAAAAACTATCATGACTTGTCATAACTAATACCTTCTCAGCTCCATCTAAGCTAAAAATATTTAAATAAATGTAAAAGTAATAAAATAAAGTAGTTATTCATACTTATACGCCTATTTAAAAAAAAAAATTAAAAAATGTTTGTATATTAATTATTATTTGTATAATTGTAGTTAGTACTAAATATTTACATATATGTGTTGTAATAACAAATTATTCGAGTCATTTAAATAAAATAGCACCAAATCAAAATAATTATTAAATTTTACAATTTTAATTAAAATATTAACTGATGTAATCACTGCATTATTTCTAATTATGTTTAATTTATTTTAATACTAAAAACTAAAATGAAATAAAAATTGAATAAAATACTTACGTTGATGATTCCAAGGATGAATTTCTCATATAAATTACAATGTAATAATTTTCGCTGTAATTAAAATTAACAATTTGAAAACATTTTGTTTAATGTGATAACATCAAAACATTCCTTGTAGCATGCTTACTTTCTAAGTTATCTAAGACACTTTAGTCACCTTAAAGAAGTTATTGCATTTTGGAATTTGACAGAAAAAAAACACAATTTTTAAGTAAACATTTGTCCCATAGAGTAGTTCATTTCCCATATACATTTTGAACATATTGTAGAATTGTAGTGCACTGGTTACTTACAGTGTTACACCTTAATGAGCAGCCTGACAAAAAATAACCAACCCATTCGACACAATAGTCACTATACAGGTGTACCAACTTATACAATATTTATTGGACCTATCCAAAACGATTTTTTTTTTAATTTGTTCACCCGAAAATTTTCAAAATTTAAGCAATCGGATAATTGCACTCATAGCTATTTTGTCTTTTCTCCTTTTGATTAACACTTGTGAAGATATACATTTTTTTTTGACTAGGTATATATTTTCCAATTTTGTAGCAACAATATTCGGAGTGAGCTAGTTGAAAAGATGATGAAAAAAAGTATCTGAGAAAAATATTCGATTTACCTATATTCGGTTTGTTCGACCAAATTATTTATTAACATAAAACAATAACAATTTTATTTTTAAATATAACTGCAGTAACTATAGTGAGTAGTGATTAGGGTTTGCTAATGAGTCAGAGTAAGTTGCTAAGTGTTTAAGGAAAAAGAGTAAGCATTTTAAGTGGCATACTACCATTCAGTATAGAATGTACAATCTATACTTAATGATAAATTATATGTACCACACGTTAATCAAATAGAAAAGATGAAATAGAATTGAGCCACCTCTAAATATTATCCAATCAGGTTTACATTTTTTATATTTACTTGGTTTTACTCTAAATTAATGTGTTTTTTTTTTTTTGATCGGTCTAATAGTTATTTATGTACAATGCATGATAATATTAGGAGTGCATATTGTGTGACCAAAACTCTATATTTTTTAATTTATAACATGGAAAACCGGTCTCACCATTTTTTAAGAACACACTTGGAGTTCACTCTTGTGACTTTGTTCTACAATGTTTTACAATTTAAATCTTATATTTTAAAACTTATAGTAATAATAATACACATTAAAAAAATATAAAATCTTTAACCAAATAAGGTATAATAGTCGAAGCAGAAAAAATATAAAATAAATACCTTATTTTATTTTTCAATACGGCCTACCAGTTATATTTATTATCTGTATGACTATTGTACCTATAACTTTTAAAAAATTGTATTAGTATTATTTGATTATTAACGAATTTAAAACTGCAAGAACACAAAATACTAAATAATAAAACTTAAAAGGGTTATTAAAAAACAATTGGCCCAGTAGACATGTGACATTTATATTGAATAATTGTTTTAACTAAAAAAGTTGTAAACAAAATGTACATTTGATTAAATTATCAAAAAATTATTTATACTGTTAAAAACATTATTTCAATTGGTAGTTTTGGAGGGTAACATTTTAAAAATTAAATGGCAACCAACATATTTGATTTACCAGCTTTAAGCGGTAATAATTATTAATTAGCCAAGGAAAATGTGAAAAAGAGGCATGAATTGTTAAAAGTATCTTAAAAGGGAGAAAGAAACAATCGTTTATTAAATAAAATGAAATTGCTCGTTATCCGAGTTGCCTTGTGTGTGGCAACATACTACTAGGTGTATAAATTTACAATATAAAATGTTACAATCATTTAAAATTTAAATAATTACATTGATAAATTAAAATCGTATACAAAAACCATAAGATACTAATAATAATGATATTGATAGAAGATAAATTAAAAGTTTTTCTTTGTGCCATCTTCATTCACACCATTTGTTTCTCCCCATAGTGAGAACCATGATATAACTGAAACAAGTGATCTATAATACTATTAACATAAATCCTTCCATTCTTTGGTCCGGTGTTAATTTCTTAACTTGACAATGCACTTTTATATCGTTTTATACATATTATTAATATAGTAATAATAATTATTTATTAATATTTATCTAGATTATCACATTACGATTATAAACGTTTTCCACGGTACATTTCAAAAAGACAATTGTATTTTGACAGTAGCTACTACCCAAAACATAATAAAATAAAAATTCTAGAATTAAATTTTGAGCACATCAACTATTTTTAAGATTAATTTGTATTTTAGCTTTTGGGTATACTTTTAAACATATAACATCTTTTGTAAGATATAGTCATTTTAGTAGAAAAAATTAACTTTACAGTACAATGTACATGGTTTGAGTCTCTCTTAGAATGAATCAAATGCAGTAAGTTATGTTTGAATGAGAAATACTTTTTTGAGTATGCAATTATATTATTTTATTGTATGACCAAAAAACGAAAAATGTATTAAATAAGATGGAATAGATATCGCACACAGAAGTCATACAAACAATGGAATCATAATTAAAAATACAACACTTTCGGAATTAATTTATATTATAGATTTTTACACGCAATTTTACTAGTCATGATACAAAAATTACTTAGGTATTGCAGAAAAAAAACATAATTTTCAACTATAAATAACAGTAATTGAAAAAAATATTAATATAATTTAATTTACACACGATTAAATGAGAAAAATAATAGGTGACACAAGGTAAAAGTGATAATTTTTCAGTAGAACATAAAATAACATAATGGAATGAACATTTTTTGTTTGTTTGTACAAAAATGATTTGATTCTCATTTATTGTCATTTTAGCCATTATACTAACATATTAAAAAACCAAGAGAGAACAGTAAAAAAAAAAAGAGAAAAGAACATTGTATTTAAAAACAATGAAGCTTAATCAATATATTGAGCCAGCCATCTAAATCCTTCTGCGTAACCTTGGCGTTTCAAAACAGAACACATGAACACTTCCAATGGACGTCCCGGTAGTTCAGATCTAGCTACACGTCCCTAAAAAAATACAAAGTTTATTTTTAAAAGTAAAACTAAATTCATCCACATTTAGAAATGAGTGGGTCTTTACTTTGCCAGTCGTTTGAGCTAGAGAAAAGGCCGTCCTTAATTCGTGTTCTGAAAGTGCACCTGGCCTATCGATTTTGTTACCGAGAACAAGCACCGGAATATTGCACAACGCTTCATCGAGCAAAAGTGAATCCAATTCCACTTTGCTTTCCATTATTCTAGTTCGGTCACAAGCGTCCACCAAAAATACTATTGCATCTACAGCAGGGAAATAATCTTTCCATACTCTTCTTGCCTGAGAATGACCGCCCAAGTCAAATGTTGTAAATTTGATGTTGCCAACTGATAATTCTTCAGATGCTACAATTAGACAAATACATGTAATTAATACGGTTATTACAAGAATGTAACTGGTAAAATAAATTAATATTACTTGGATGTAATGTTGGTGTATGTTGAGCTAAGCGATCATCTTTTAACATATGCAACAAAGTGGTCTTTCCAGCATTATCTAATCCGAGGAAGAGTAATTTTCCGGATTTTTTCCATAATCCTAGAAATGCAAAGAAAATATATAAATTATAGCAATGGTTAGTGTAAATATGAAGTGTTTAATCATTATTATTAGATTGTTATAGTAATGAATTATTTTCAGGGTTTTGGTAATTTATGTTATTCAAAATGGGTTGACCGTGATTTAATTTTTTTTTTAATGTAGTAAAATTAAAAAAAAATGTTCAAAGGCCCAGAATAGATCAAAACGGAGTCTTGTTTCGTGTTTTTCAGTTCTTAAATGACTCATTATTTCATTGTTGTATTAATTATTTTATTATTTTACCAACTTAACACAATTTAATTAATTTACTAATTTAGAAATCTACTTATCAATATAAATACTCTTTACAACAACACATTTTTAAGTGCTTTCTTTTTTTTATAGTTTTCAATTGTCACAAATTACTTCATAAGCAATGTTTTATACTGATGTTAACTGTTTTAAATTCATAATTATGCAATAATTGTTTCAATACACTTATTTAATTGAAATAAGAAATTAAACATGTCCCAACTAAGTTTATTTTATTATAAACAAGAACATAAAGAGCTAAAATTATTAGTAATATGTTTATTTAACAAATTCACGAAAGAAATTTGATAAACATAATGTATAAAATTGCTATATATGAAAAAAAATACTCTTACTAAAGACTTCTATCGATAATAAACAAAAAAAATTTTTTTGGTTTAGTTGACTAAAGTTTACTTGTAAGCTAATTTTAGTTTGTTAAAATATAAGATTGATTTCTGATGGTTTGAATCAAATAGAAAGAAGTGTTGATACATTTTACTAATTTTATACATAGCAACACAAAAATTAGGACAAATAAATTGATATTTTATTTAAAAATTAAATATTAATTAATTTTTTGTATAAACTGTACTCACCTAAATACTCCAACGCTCCGGTAACCCAATCCCATAAAAACATTTTGTTTTATTTTTTTATTTTCTTTGTCAGCTATCTAAAAGAAAATAACAAAAATAATTATTATATTCACTTGGTTATTGATAAGGCTAGGAAAAAAGCCATGCAAGGCGAATTTCTTCATAAAACTCTATGATCAAAGAAAATAGAAACCCTCTAACAAGTGTGTAAAATGAATTCTGTCAAATGTAATACTTAATTTCAGATTTTATAGTTAAAATATGTGGGTACTCTGTTGAGATTTGCCGTAAATGATTTAGCATTATAAATAATAAGTATATTATTGTATAGTTTTGAAATCAGTTAATCACTTTTGCTTACACAATGTATCATTGATTAAGAAGCAATACTTTGTATAGGAAAACTTGACAGTTTTTTAATCAAAATTAAAATATTTATTTAAAAAAACATTTATTTAAATAATAAAAACTAATAAAATATTAATATTTGTTATATATTGAATGCTTAAATAAAATTAAAACCATATTATTATACTTTTAATATTATTTGAACAAAACTCCAAATAATAATTTCAAATACATTTTTATTTAAAGGAATTTACGTTACACGTACAAATTGATTTTAATCAAGTTTTAATTTTTAACGAATAATTTTTTATTTAGATAATAAAAAAGTTACAGCCTACTTAAAGCATAACGGGTAAAATTATAAAACACGGAACATGATTTAGCCGCCTGGCTCTTGAATAGTGATTATTTCTGATCTATAATCTTGCAATTTCTGAAGATAGTATAGAGTTAATTATATGTTCTGGCCAAAATGTTTGCACGACGGCGACGACTCGTTATATTATACATTTAAAGTAAATGCCCTACTTTTGTGACGCTATTTTGTGTCGTTTACGAGCTGGGAGGCCAAGACTAAAGCATGTTCCATGCTAAAAATATTTAAATATTGGTGAAATTGGGCCTTAGTTATTACTTATAATTTGATCTATACAAAATAAAATAAAATTTTGCTTCCTCGCCGACACTATACTCTCTATCTAGCTAACAACATCATGATGGAGTATTTATCTTAGTAAACATTTCTTCTTCATGTCTATAACATCTATTTGATGTATGACATAAAAGTAGATAGACTGATAAACTGTCAGTAAGCAATACCAGCAATTTGTACTGTAACTTTATACTACACAATACCCTATAAGTAACTTTAATAAAAAAGCATCATAATTAATATAGAACCACAAAGAAGGAAATCCATTAGGCGGAAAGTAACATAATTTAAAAGAAAACAAATTTTTCTCCCATGTATATTTCAAATATTGTACAGTACACGCCCGTATCATAATATTATAAATAGATTTCTTTTTTACGTAACTCTGAACATTAATTAAAGACTTTTGAACATTGACCTAATACATTTTTTATTCTAACGACATATATATCTGATTCATAGTATTGTTTATAATTGTATTACATAACAGTTTAGATACTGAGTTCTATTATTTAGATCTAATAAATTGAACTAGTTTGAATAACCATGTATTTTTAGATATGTTTCTTAGTGTTAACAAAGTTTTATAACAAATTGAAGTAATAAGGCGTATAAAGTGGAACGAATAAAAGAAATTGAATGCGAGTCATTGACAATTTTGAATTATTAGAATTATACAACATTTCTTATACGATAGTATTGACAATTTGAGTTAACTGTACAGATAAAGTTGTACTAATGTAAGAATACTCTTTACGATTTTGAACAATATGACAAATCATTTGATTGACGAAATATTTTAAATTTTGAAACAAATGCACTTTACCCCGAGCACCCTTTTTTTTTTTGAGATTTATTTTACCTCCTTGTTGTTTCTTTTACACGGATTACAAATCTGAATTCGAAAATTGGCGGACTTCTCTAGTTCCAGGTATAGGTACTTGAAATTTGCTTACTAGCAGCCGCCTGTTGCCGCACAATACATTTGTCGGCAATGCGAGTAAGTGCTGCTACAGTATTATTACTTAATTATTTATTTTTATTATTACTTTTATTGAATACTATATTGCTATAAATTATTTAATATCAATATTGTATTTAACAACAATAGCATTTTCTTAAGTATTAAAGCTTTGAATTAGTTAATCTTTAGCTAATAAAACAACTCCCTACACCTGCTGGCTTCAGGAGCCGACTCGAGCCCCTTCAGGGCTCTTCATTGGATGGGGGCTCAAACCCCCAAAGAGAAAAATAGCTTTAGCCTAAAAAACTAAACTAACCTAGCCTACAGCTTTAGAAGCGTCAGCAATCTAACGAGACCGAACCTAACCTAGCCTGACCTATTTTCGCGTTGCAGACAAAGGTATAGAACGGATGCGGTCATAGTCGCCGCCTATTGCTATACACGCAGAAATTTCAAGTAATTATAACTTTAGAACTAAAAGAGAAAAATTATTATATGTTAAGTACCTTAAGAAAAGGAGCCTTATATTGTTGTGACACAGCTAACAAGTAACAATGATTATATTATCGAGAATGCAATATTACTTAAATTGCGTTATTTACATTAGATTTTACGACTACGACAAACTATTGTTAACAGCAAAACAACACAATTAATCTTTAGCTTTTTTTCTGTGGTACCACGTACCAAAAATTGACTCAACACCAACACACCGTTTTGCATACGCGCAAAAGCCACTTCGACAATCGCCAACAGCAGCAGCAATAATTAACAACATATTTCACTTACCTATGGTCGGATTACGATTGCTGCGAACACGTTGTCTTCTGCTGTCTTGAGTTAACAACGATGGCTTGTGAATCGCGAGCAAAACGTTATTTTACAGGATGCAACTGGCCCTCTGTTCGATCAGTTCGACAATAAAACGTTTGTGGACTTTAATAACGCGACCAAATAATACGACGAAGATAACGATGACAATATTATTATTGCTACGATATCAGTGATAACGTTTTGTGGGGACGAGACAAAACATTATCAACAGGCAAAATCATAGACCTAACAATAGGTATAAAGGTCTTAATAGGTCTATGGGCAAAGTCCCACTTCCCAGTACCTTTACAATAATTATTGCAGATTAACAGTAGATGAGCTGTTAAGTGCTAGGTTCGTATCTAAGTGCCTTGGATGAGTTGCAAACGACGGAATAAGTGAAAAATGTATTATCAGAAGATACCACGTATCTAGGAATCAATAACAATGAAATATATTATTATTGTCGTCCGCATGCCGCACTATTATGACAATGTTTTTTTTTGCTATATAATATACCTATATTATTATAATTATATTATTATATTATTAATATACTGATGCAATACTCCAAAGTCCACTTTCAAAGACCACGTCCTGCGTTAGAATATTGTCGTTCGTGGACAATTAACTGTTGACCATTAATAACAGCCAATTGTTACCTTTAGCTAACCGTGGTACAAAGTGTGTCAACATTGGAGCTACTCGACCACGGACGCAATGCACATTGTCGTTATTGTCACTATTCCGTTAAGGCTTATCAGTTGTTATCAGCTCACAAAGTCATGACGTGACGACAAATCTACAATACAACAATAACAAAATAATGATATACTTCTATATACGCCAAACCCGAACGTTTTTCAAACTATAACAACAATGCAACAATAATTATACTGTAAATTACTTATATTATGTTTGTGGTTCAGCTGCTGCCGCCACCGTCAACGTTAGTACAATTATTATCACCATCGGTACAGATCTATAACTATTCCGTCTCGGTACCGACTAATAATTGTCACAATAATAATATTATAATTTTTCTTTATTAACTTGTACAGTATGAAATTATCGTGATAACGTCATCGTCGGGCGGCGTCTGTTCGAAACACTCGAATAAAGCCAACACACTGGAAAGAAAACCCAAAACATTATCGTTGACGGACTGGAAGCTACGCTATGTGGAATCCCACCCACGTCCAGGTCACTGGTGAGTCTTGAACTTGATTATTGACAAAATTATTTACACTCAAGTGTGCTAGACAACAGCTATAAGTGTCAAAATGTTTTTCATCATTATTTATCAATTTTTATAATTGTTTATGATTGAAGTTGATATTTTCGCTCTGCAACTTCAGATACTTTGCTATATTAATCATTATTATTAAACGAAGATCAATAGTTGATCACTCTTCACAACTATTACCTGACATTAGATTTTGATTACAGTACAAAGGGCTCGGCTGCACGTTGGAAGTATATTAGACTCTGAGCTGTTCGTTACCATTGCATTGGGCGGTGGCCAAGGTGGTGGTCAAAATCACCATGGAGATAAATATCAAACATCGTCTAGAAAACCTGAAAAAGACATAGAACAACAGGGGGACGACAAAAATGTTGTAGAATGGCACGAAGTTTGCGAGCTGTGAGTAAATGACTGTGGCTGATTAATATGTTTTAACTATAATAAAATGGTACAATAGTTTAGCCATTTACACTTATAATTAGCACATTACATACTTACAACGACAGACTGACAACCCCTCTCAGATAGTGAATTCGCCAAGAAACCATCTCGTGATAACAATAGGTCTTAGGTCTTCAAGCCCTGTTAAGTTACATAATGAAGAAAATTACGTTATAATGGCTAAAAATGTTAAACAAATTCTTACTTTCACAGTACAATATTAATAGGGAAGTATATGATTAAAAATATAAAAATATTTTTTATCAATACACAGTTAACAAAACAAAAGGTCTATGCAAATTGCCTATGAAAATATGCAATTTTAAGGGAGTTAATATTTGTTTAATAGAACAAAAAGATTAACTATTTTTTTAAAAATGTATAAATAATTATAGACTATATAAATATAATAAAATAGACTATTAAACTAAAAACTATACATAATATATAGATTTTAAAATAACTCACAAAAGTTAAAAATGTGTCATATTATATCATTTGTAGACACATTTGTAAATTTTGCAAGTTATTTTAATAAAATCTATTGAAACTTTAACACATATAATACAACATTATCTGAACACTCTTTAAACAATAGAAATTTGCATACATTTATGAACTAAAATTAGCCTACGAGTATATATGCACTTAAAAAATGTTTTAATTTTTAAGATTTTTCACGCCATGACTTTAAATTAATTATCAAAATACAAAAGAAATATTTAAATATAATAAATTTGTTAGTAAATTATAAAAAATAAAACTAAATAGATTGAATAAACAAAAGAACTGGCAATTTTTTTATTTTTCATCTGATTGTACTAATTTTTGTTGATGAATTGCATCATCACATTAATGATTATTTTATTGTAGAGAAATACCAGAGTGGCGGCGTGGTGGTTCTCCTGAATTGGAGTTGTGTGTGCGAAAACGTCGAGCAAATTCTTCTTTTATGGGCGGTTTAGTACCTCCATCAGATAAGGCAGTAGGTCGCACCGTGGTTCCATTAGATGATGCAGACGTGTACGAGCGGCCCAAAAGCAAGTATGTATAATAGAAAATTGTAAGTTCCCTAAAATATAATCATCACCATAATACTCCTACTTAAATTCCTTTAAAATCGTTAATTTATAAGTTCTAAATAGTATTTGTTTTTAGCATTGTTATATGTTCCTATTTTTACAGGTGGTATCAACTACACACTAAAAACAACCGGGGCGATATTGTTGGAGAGCTTCAAGCAAAAATTGCTTATACTGTTAAAGCGTCAACAGGGACAAATCTTAATAAAAAAGAAAAACATAGATTGTCAGTTGGTCATCTTTCTTCGTCATCTAGTATTAGTGAGTATTGAAAGAAAAAAAAACACAAACTTTTAACGACCTATATATTTAAATATTAACAAATGTGTATATGTTTTAACAGGCGGTAGCTTGTTAAGCTTAGGCAGTAGTGGAGGAAAAGGACGGTCGTTTAAAAGGCTGGCTAAATCTATAAGTAAGCGAACATGTTATAATCTGTTGAAATATTAATCAACTAAACTTCTACATTTGGTCTAATAATTCCATTTCTCTATTTAAAAAAATTCCTGATTACATAAAAAAAAAAAATAACTATTAAAAAACCAACATCAGATTATAATAATTTGTATTTAATTTGCAGCTGGCAAAATAAAACGTGAAAAAAATATTAGTAGCCTGGAAGAAGTCAAAGCAGAGCCTTTGGGAAAGCAACTTCAGCGCACTGAGCTGGCTGTCGAATCTAGCGATGGTGATGATGTCGACAACGATGATTTCACAGTGAGTTCATAATATGTGTTGAAAAAGCAATGATAATTTTAAAATTGAATTGCCATGTGTCATTGCTGACATAGAGTACTATATAATACCAAGTATCAAACACATAGTCGATAACTGATAAGGTAATTCACAATGTGATGTATTATTGATTGATCAAGTCAACTATTTGACAGCACAAAATTACAATTATAAAATACATTTTTGATCCTCGAGAAAACAAGTTTCTGTATTTAAACACGCAAGACTAATCGGATACGAATTGGAATCGCAAAACAGCGCGGGAAACTGTGTACAGAGACCATCGTTATAGGCATAATAAAACTTCACTGGCACGCTTTAATATTCAGATAGAGGAGTGGCATAAGGCTTAACATTTTTATTTTCATTTCAGTTTCTGAAGCGAAGAATTTTTTAACTCGCACTAATATATACATAAATGTATATGAGTTCACTTTTCTTTTATTAAAAAAAATTTGAAATAAACCCGATACATTGATTTGTGTTATTTTTTTAAATAATTATATTATTTGCTAAACAATAAACCAACTAGTTTCTGACAATATATTATTATATTGAGACTTCATACATCTTTTTTTGTAGTTGGATGGTGGTGGCGGTGAAGACTTCTCATCATATCCCAAGGCGACAGGAGGGTCTTCTTGGTCACTGGAAAATACTGGCAAGAAGTCTACAGCAGCTTCGTCAGTGGAAAGAAGCTCTAGCGGAGTAAGCAAAAAGTCAGTGTCGATCGAAAGGAGTGCTAGTGGTACATCTGAACGTGTCGAAAATGACGAATGGCAGCGAAAACTGTATGGTAGTAGTGGCAGAGGTGAGTAACAGACCTCTTGAAGTACTAAGTAATTGAAAACTCGCATAGATAATGTACGAGATCAAGAGTTACACATAAATAGTACTGAATACAATCACCTGCAGAAGCATTATCACATATTCTGATTACAGATAATGGTAGCGTCACACCTGCGACCAAGTCTCTGGGTAGTGGCATAATTACCGACCCAGTCAAGTCACTGAGTAGTGTTGATAAACAACTAGCAGGCACAGCCTCTGACATCCTGATCATATCAGATCGAACCAACAGCCCTTCCACACCGCCTCCACGTTCACCGTCTTCCAACAAACGTTCGCCCTCCCGTTCTCCAAGTAAGTGTTCTTCTTAGTCATTGACTATGATCATTATCTAAATGTACAAGAAAATTATTTGATTTTTTGTGTGTTCAGGGATTGGCTCAAAGTGGAGTGGTGCTGTTAAGCGCGTAGTAGTCGGAATGGAACAACACAACAAAGGATCAGTGGACGGTCGGGCCTCTGGGGGCGGAGAGTTTGACGGCAAATCTAAGGATGTGAGTGTTGATATCCATTACCATTTACCTCTAATAATTGTGCTGTGTGAATAGGATTTGTGAATATTCATAAGTTTCTAACAAATACCAAGGACGTTTGATTTTTTTTGGCTCGACTAAAAATTACTTTCCAAAACCTAGTACTAAAAATTTAACAAGTATAGGATAATAGTTTAATTTGAAGTAATTATTAGAGAACATTATTTTATACTTTAAAATACATTTCAACCTTGAACATTAATTTTAAAAAAATAATAATGATAATTATGTAATGTTAACGTTTAATATTTACTTTATGTATACATAATTCATGATAATTTATATTCACAATTTGTACAATTCTTTAATTTGGTATAAAAACGTTAGTTTTTTGTTAAACCTTGGTTATGATGATAATAGTAATAACTTATGGTTCTTGCTAAATAGGATTTGATTGCAATGGTCATGGAACTCAGGCGACGATTGACCGACGAATCAAGACGACGAGAAGACTTAGAAGACTACGTAGATGCACTTTTAGCCAGAGTCATGGATCGGGCCCCCAATGTTTTGCAACGGCCGTTTGAGACTACATCTTGTCGCAGACAAGTCCGGTGACAAAAACAAGTTATTCAACTGATCCTAAAAATGGCCAAGGCCAAACTATATTAGGACAATTCAACGGACAAAAATGCACTACCAAATCTATTTTATATATAACGTTATAAAATATTAAAATAGTATTATATAAACACAGGGATAGTATTATAAAGCAACGGCCGAATTTATTAACTTTAATGAACGTATTTAGCAAATTTTTATTTTTACATAAATTGTTAGCAATAATTGTTTTTCACAAAGTCTGATATCACAACTATTATTATTTTTAAATAGCAGTCTCTCTTGAATTATTGTGAATTTTTCAAATTATGATCCCAGCCATATTATTAACGTTATTTTATTTATTTATATTTATATTATTATTATTATTAATTATTATAGTTTATGTGACGTACCTAATACAATATATATATTTTTATACTCGAATGTTATATTGTTTTTCAAATAATTGTATCTGAATACATAACTTATTGGTCACTAACTGCAATTTGCAATTGAAGGATTTGTTTGCTTTTATCAGTATTGATGCTTTTTTGTTATGAATGATGAAACTGTCGTAGGAATAAAACATAAATATAACTATACTAAAAAAATGCATAATATTCCCATAAATATTTTTTGTTATACCCCGTTAGTTAGATTTAAATTTATTAATTGCATCAAAATGTAACGCTCCGAACAATTATTTACGTTTTGACATAATTTGTGAAATTGTATGTTTAATGCTTTTTGAAATGTCTTATTTGCGAAATTGGTACGTATTTGGAGTTTGCTTTTGAGTATATTTTCATATTTTTTTAAATGAATAGCTAAGTTTATTCTTTTGTAATTATTTATTAATAATAATGCTTATTTTAACAGTCACAATATTGATATCTTTATGCAGCAGTGATATACGCTCCGTAAATGTTACCTGAACTTAAACTTAAAAAGTAATCTTCATAAATGTATTTTTACTACCAATGTTACTACAATACAATAATAACAACAGCACCTTATATAGGGATAAAAATCATGTATGTAAAGTAAAATTTAAAATTAAATAAAAAACATTTAATTGTTATAATTTAACATCCTTTGATGATTTTGATTCAACCAATCTAATATAAGTCATAAATTATAGGTCAGCTATGTTTACTTGTTTTAAGACTATTGCTATCAGAAATAATAATTTTTATTTTATTTACTAGCTGCCTGTGTACTCGGCAAATACTCAAATAGTTATTACAAACAAATATTATATCTCTAACCATTGTGAAACGTTATCCAATTTTTGTTTTTGTGAAGTCTTAATTTTGTACTAGTACCTAAATCGATACTACTGTATCTACTTAAGTGTATTTCTGTAAATCATATACAATTTTAAAATATTATGAGTATTGTAGTTGAATTGTTAACAATATTAATTGCTCTTAAATTAACAACAATGTGGTGTCACGATAAGACTTTTATACATCTTTAAACGAAGCACAAAAGTTAAAACATATATTTTATACAAAAAACTTGAAAATTCGCACATTGAGTTTAAGACAACAACAAAAGTTTAAGTTTTACAGAATAAAATGTTTTAACAATGAAACATTTAAGTTTACTCTTGTTGATATTAATATATTATGGTATACTCATAATATATACTCAATTTTATATTAAGATTTTAGTTATATGATTGCACTTCTATATTTTGGAGTGAGTACCTAGTGTCTGTTCTCGGTCACAATGTTTTGAGTTCTGACCAGTAGGTATAACTAACAACTTCTGTCCTAATCATTTAATTATACATTTTAACTAGAGTTTAATTGACTAGTATTAGTTTCTAGCATGGACTGTGTTTTGTTTATATTATTAAGGAAATTGTTTTCTACTAACCCACTACCAGTTGTTGTAAAATAAGAATTAACAGCTATATTTAAGTATTTTTTAGGTGTAGTTTTAGGATAGCTGTTATCTTCCATTATTTCATTAACTGGAAGTGCTGGCAAGGTTTTTCTCTTCCTGATATTTCATTAATTACCTGCCAGATCTCTCGTCCATTACCTTCACATTTTTCTATTTTATCCAAAATGGCTTTTACTCATAGAAAAAATGATATAAATTAAAAATAATTGAAGCTTATACAAATTAACCGGTAAATTAACTGACATGGTCGACATTTATTAAAACCTCTTTTTTTTTTCTTAAATATTGCCTATACTAAACTCCTTAAAATAGACCGCATACAATCCCCTTAAGGCCCCTGGATACCGACCGTTTTTTTCAGCCAAAACACATCATTTTTGTCCATCGCACAGGCTAAACCATTGATGCGATAAGCGATCTAAAAACAGATATGAATTTGTCATGAAGTTTACTTGAGATCAGTCAGAGCACTTTTTTCAATTTTTAATTTCAACCCTTTCCAAATTTGATTTTAAAATTAAAATTTTTATAAAATGTTCAAACGTGTTTTATGCGTAGTAGGAATAAGATATCAAAAAAGTACGCTGACCGATCTCAAGTAAACTTCATGACGAACTCAAATCTGTTTTCAGATTACTTATCGGGTCACTGGTTCAGCCTGTGCGATGGACAAAAAATGTACTATTATATAAACTACAATGGCCTTTTTTCTTAAATATTGCCTATACAAAACTCCTTAAAAATGGTCGGTATCCAGGGGCCTTAACATTTGTTTATTCTATCCTTTCTCTTACAAAAAATCCCAGTAATATTTTGTACTTTAGTAATTTCATTATATTTTTTTAAACTGGGTTTGTTATTTAAAATATGCACTTTTTTTATTTTAGAATTAGGTGACCATTGATACTAATTAAGCAACAAACATATAAATCCACGTTTTAAAGTTGTTCAGTACGATCTAAAACCATTATTAATTTTATCACTATCTTATTATTTAAAACAGTAATAGAAAATATATTTCAATTGAATAATTATTGTTGCAATGCAAAAATATGGATTTGAAATAATTCATTATTTTAAAATAATTTTTTTGTTATATGAACTAAAATTGGCCAGGTCTGACTATAGATCAGTGACTGACTATAGATGAACAAGGCCAAAATTTAAGCAATAACGATAAAAACCCCTTAAGAATTGAAAAATAGTTTCAAACTTGTGTGGGATACTCTTTAGATTTAGTACTATGCCAAAATACAGTGGAAACCCAAGAATCTATCATTAACCTTTTGCCTCAGAAATCAGAATGGTCGGTACCACTTGAACAAAAAATTTATAAAATACATGCGTACCATTTAAAAAATTAAAAACCTAGTCATAAATTCTAATAAATAATTAATATTATGTATTTCAATATAATATACAACCCATTATAAGAATTATTATACTATAATATTTTGTATTATTTACTATAATTTAGTATACATATATTATATTGCAAAGTATACATATTTTATATTAATAATTGAAAAAAAAACAAATAACAAATAATTTATCTAGGTATTACTACTATTTGTATTAGTTATAGCAACATAATATTGAATATCTATATAATAGGTAACAATATGTAACACATCAGTTTATACATATTGTGTTAACAGCTATAGATGTTAGTGTATATAAAACATTTACTAACATTACTTGAATATTATCGTTATATATTTATTTTTTTTTTTTAATATTTTTATTTATTATTACAATTATCAGTTACGTGTTTAAAATTGTAATGACTGTTTAGTTTTAAAAATAAATTCTATAGATATGTTAACAATAAAATTTTTTTAATTTTCTCGTACAAAATAAAAATACGCTAACAAATAATCAACAATTCATGATAAAGATTATTGAATATTTTAGAAAATACATCCACAAAGACAAGTAAGTGCATTACGTTTAATTAATATTTACAAACTATAATTTGAAAAACAAAAAAAAAGAATTACAACAATTACTGAACAATTTATTACAAAGATTTTCATTTATTTACAAAAAATAAAGCAATAAGTCACAATTTAAATTATAGTTAAATTGTTAGAAACAAAACCAAGCAGCCAAACATTGTTATCCCAAAAAGATAAACTTCCATTTAATCAAAAAAATGTTCTTATTTTTTTACCATAGTTTAATATTATAATAATTATTCAAGTCAAAGTTACTCTGAATATTATTTGAATAGGAAAAAATAAAAACCGATGTTTTTATTAATTATAATGCTGGTAAGGTCTTAGTATCGAATATAAACGTAGTAGATTGTGTAGCAGTGTCAACTTTTGAAGCCTTCAACTTAGCTACAGCTGCAACCAAATCATCCATACTAATAGGTCTCAAAACAATTGGATTAGACTGATCACTAGGACGCTCATCAGCCTCAGGACTAAAAATGTATAAACATTACAGTCAAAAATAGTGTAATTCAAATTTATAAAGAATATATATTTATATATTAATTTTTATTACCGTCTTTGTAGTTCTTCTGCATTAATCAAATCTTTTATACGTAAAAACGAGGCGATGCGACATATCTATTGAAGATCTGAACCTGAAAAACCGCTTGTCTCTGTAGCTAGGTTATGTAGATCCATATCATCCTCGCACTCTTCGGAGCTTAAAACTAAATTAAGTATTTCTTTCCTTTGTTGTTCATCCTAAAATGAACAATAACAATAAATGACTTATAATTGTTCAGAATTGTTCCAAATTATTTATTATTTAAAACATCAGCATCGTCTGGCTCGAGATCATCAGTGTAAACAAATAAAATATAAAATAGGTGCAGTATTAAAAAAAAAATGGTGGTACTTTATTACTTAGTCACCTATTAGTATGCACTAAGTTTAAGATGTTCTTTTTCTTTGCGGCTTTGCATACTTATCATATGAACAAAAATAATACTATTACCGTTAAAGATATTTGAAAAGTGGCAGGCATGCGCCGATGTATGGCAGAGTCTAAATCTCTCGGCATGTCTGTAGCTCCCATGACTATAACTGAAGAGTGGAAATGTCAAACGTTACAAGTGCCAAAGTATAAAAATTGTACTTTATAATTTGATTTGTATTTTGTTCATTACCAGAAACAATTTTGTAAATTTTTAAAGTAAAGAATAGTTATTTATAAAAAAAACAATCATATTTAAAACTCAAAAATGTGTTAAAGTGTTTCCGGTAATAAATAAAATACAAATCAAATTATACAGTTCAAATTTTATACTTTAGCACTTGGAACGTTTGACACTTCCACTCTTCAACTATGCACTCATGATCTATTGACAAACCATCCCATAACTGCATAAATTGGGCCTTAAACATAGCTGTTTTTTCAGGATCACGTTGTGTTCTAGATCTCAAAAACGAATTTGAAAAAAACAAACTTATAATACTTTCAAAATTTTTCTAT